CCTCGCCGGCTCTGCTGGTCGCCATGCAAAGAAATCATTTCAATGCCATTTCCATGACTATAACCTCAATCTTCTAAAAGACAAAAATCAAGATCACAGCTTTGCAAGTGAATCTCAAATTACAAAGTTGTCCTTTCCCCCCCATTTGCTTCTTGCAAATGAACAAAGATGATGAACAAAGCCGGCTGTCTGTGAATGACTGAAATATGTCAAACCTTACAGCACTATCCACACAGTGAGAAAGAATTTACGGCCCGCCGTTGTCTTTATGTCCCTCCAGGCAACAGCAGCTTCTCCTGAGAGATGAGACATTAAGGAAAAAGCACCAGCTGACTGATTCCACACTGCCAGCCATGTGACAGCTCAGCCCACTGTGGCAAGGCTTTTAATGGCCCTGGACAAATACAGTAAATTGCTTCTTTAAATATTGTGCAGCGGAAGTGTTGAATGTGCAGAAAGTCGCGGCTGTGTGAGCTCTACCTGGGAATTGGAAGCGGAGGGAAACATGCAGGTCATCACAGTTAGAAATGTCACAAGACATGTGAGGCTGGAACGTGATGAAACCTTGTATTGTCTGATTTTTTTATTTTTTCCACAAGAAACAGATGAGGCACAAAGCTGCCATCGCGGTCACACTGTCGGCCATAATCTCTGGAGCCTCTACAAAGGCTGTCGCTGTGTATATTTACATATTTATTGAGAAGCATCGACGTGTTTTTATAGACATGCCGTATGTTTTTATCTACAAAATAAAGTTTTATCCAAATGTGCTATCACATGGCGTGCCATCGGTATTATATACTGTTAAAGGACACTTTTTTTTATAGCACTGTGTAAAGGTTTGACTACAAAAGTCAAATCAACGTTTGGTGTTCTCTTCAACACACTTGTGCACAGTTGTTTAAGGCAGAATAAAGGAATTCTATTTTATTCTAGTGTCATAGCACAGTGCACAATGAAATTAAGCAACAATCTGACAACTGTTTTTTTTTTGTATAATAAGAAATGTGCAATGATAAAATATAAAAATATAGCAAAAAAAGAAAAAATAGTATGTGCAAGTGTAACCAGTGGAAACAGTGCCACAGCTTATTGTTGTAAAGTTAGCTTATCTGGTACATTAGGAATACTATAAAACAGGTGTGAGAGATGATGCACTTCCGGATATTGGTTTACAGTATAGTGCAAAATGTACATACAAATCGTATATCAATCAAAGGTGCTGCATAGAAGAAGAGAAAAAAATATTTCAAGATTCTTGCAGAACATGTTGGAAACCTCTTCACAATTCCTCTATGGATTTAGGTCGTCTAAATGTCTTCTGTGTCTTTATGTAATCCCAGACTGTCTCTTCATTTAATACTTGATCATAAGACTGGGGCTCTCTGTTGCAGGACTCTTTGTTCTTGTTGTTGCTAAAGTTAATCTTAATGAATCTGGTGCACATTTAGGGCTGTTGCCATGACACAAACTGAATTATGTACCAATCAGACACCTCCCTGATGGAATAATGTGACGGTTAATGTGACTGAGGAGACCAGCACATTTCCTTTTTGCAGAAATGCAACCTGGTTCTGAGCTAAAGATGTGCTAAAGTGAACGTAAACCAGTCTGATGTGTAATTCATGTGAGGCTGGACGACCACCTTGTGTCCTGTTGCTATGCTGAAGATATGAAGGTATTATCCACACACAACAATTTTTCTGTTACCGTTAATTACAGTCGTGACTTGATAATCAGACACTAAATGTAAAACCTTCTGTTATGTCGGATAGCAAGGCTGTCGGATTGTCAAGACGGAGGTCCAGATACAAGGAGGGCTTGATGCTTGAAGGCTCATTTGTTGTTAATATCACTGTTCATAGGTATAATAACTAGTGTATTGTTAGAACACTACACATCGCTGGATTTCAGCCTAACTGACCAGTGTGCTTGTGCACGAGCCTGTCGGTTGACATCAAAGGTAAATGGCACTGGGCTATACGCCTCCAAATTTCTCAGGTCTTTTTTGATAAAGTGGTCTCTTATTTTGAAAATCTGAAAAATGAACATGTTGAAAACCTTTGCAGAGTACCGCATATTTAAAGAAAAATAAAGGTTTTAGGTTTAGGGCCCCTTTATGCTCAAACACACAGCATGTAAACAAGAATGTCAGAGTTCTCGGTCTGTAAAGAGCCACATGGATACTGTCAGAATGTAATGTTGTCTGTCATGTAAACTTTTGTCATCCCTACATTTCTTTTTTCAATTTGAGACAAACAAGTTTCCAGCTTTTGGTGCTACAGTTCCCATCGTGTTCTGTGGGACCAAACCAAAGCAATAAGCTTCGGGGCTGTTGTTAGGCACATGCTGAGCCCACCAAGTAAATCAAAATTCACAACAAATCTGACATTTGGAAGCAATTTGTTTGGCGCAGCAGCACTGATGTTACGCAGTCACAGGTGTGTGTTTATGGAGTATTACACAACGGCTTCGAACACAGCCTCAATCATAATCAGCAACCAGAACGAACTGTTTCCTACAAAAAAGCTGCCATGGAAGGAGAACATCAATAACCAGAGATCTGCTTTTAGCCCCTTTTTGGGGGCTAATTGACACTAAGAACTGTCCTGTAATAATATTACTCATTAAGAATCCCTGTTTGTACTGTAGTCATGGATTTACAAAAAAAACTTACCAAGACTGCTTTTAAAGAATCTAATGGGACCTAATGCCACAAAAAATCTTTTTATATGATTTCTACGTAGACTTTTTGACACTTGTAAACATCACTGGAAAAGTAACCTGCTTTGATTTTTGTGTCGGACATCTATGCAATTTTCTTTTCTTACTAATTTATGACACCAACCTGTTCCTGCCCCTAAAATGACATTTCTGTACAACTCAACTGCATTTTCATTTATGTTTTGAAAGAATCATAGCTTTGTTTAGAAAGAAACAGATTTGGGGCGCCGCTATAGCTCACCTGGTTGAGCTGGCATCCCATGTACAGGGCTACAGTCCTGATGTGGAGATCATGAGTTTGAATCCCACTCATGACCCTTTCCCACATGTCCTCCCCCAATTCTTCTCCCCTGCTTTCCTGTCTCACTCTGACTACACCATCCAATAAAGCCACAAACTCCACAGAATCATGATGTTTGCAGAACGACGGTGCAGCATCATTATTCTTGTACTTAAGCTTTGTTTTTGTTTTTTTTACTTCTTGTTTTCGTGTGCCATATAGATGGGCTTAGACGGCAAAACTCTACATTAAAACAACATGATTTGGGTTGAAGTACGACCCTTTCACAACATGTTTGAAGCTTCTGCTCCATTTTGTTATTTGTGATGCATTAAAAACAAATATAATCTGCCAGAAAATATGTTGCCCATCACATTGTAATTGCAGTTTAGTCATATAGGAAGTTTTGGGAAACAGAGCTGCACTACGAGGAAACTGTGTTTTTTTAGTAATTGTTCACAGCATGATTCATTTCTCCTTCTACAGGCTCTAACTTTCCAAACTAGTGACCTTCAAGCTACAAGCCCTCTGTGATGCCATCAATCCAGACGGTAGCATATGGTAAACACCGATACAGTAATTACAGTGCTGACAGGTCAGTCGCGGTGGTTTTAAATGGACCTCTGGAGGGACCCTCGAACCACAACTCATTTCTTATTTACCAAACAACGTGAACCCATTGAAACGGGAATGAGGAATTCATATGCAGCAAATTCCTTCATGCATATTAAAACTCGACCCTGACAGAGTATCTGGCTATTACCACGCGCTGTGCTGCCAATTTTCCAGGCGGCGGCTTAATGTCGCATCAATGGATTATTATTTTGGAGGTCTGGAGGAGTCTAGGTTTGTTTGCTACCTGTGAGGGTGCCACTGCTGACTCCGGCAGACTGTTATTGATCAGGTTTGTGTTGTACAGGCTCGGGTGATTACTCTCAGACAGACTCCAAAACAAAAGGGTTCATAAACAGCCCCAGAGAGAGAGAGAGAGGCCAGCAGACTGCGAATGCCCCTGGTGAGATAAGCTGCGTAGAGAATAATGCATTACTGTGCTTTTTTGGCTCAGATGAGGAGGGTGCTGCTGGTTTCGATTGTCTTTTAAAACATTACTGGCTGCATAACTGCAATGTGGATCTCTGTTTTAAAACAAAACTTATCCCAAAGTCTGTTTAGTTGCCATTTCCAATCCCGCGTGATTAGTCGACGTGTTAGGCAACTGGAAGTGTTTTCTGACAAACAAAGCTTCACATAAGGGCTCTGCAATGTGCACAGGCTTGTTGCCCATTTTCATGCAGTGGCTGTAGTGTAGGAGTCCTTTAAGAAAGTCAAATGACCGGCTGCGCTTGTCCAGTTGTCCTGTGGTCCATTATCTTTGTTTACACACCATTTCTTCGCTATATACTGTCTTCTCCAATTCTTGCTTTTCAGCTGCAGCCGGCGTGTTTCTTTAACTTTTGGTTCCCTCAGTTTTGCTTCTACGCCCTCCTCAAGCTGGCGTGAAGCGTAACTAAACATAAAGCTGCGGTGGGTTTCCGATATTTTGTATGCAGCACCATATTCCGAGCTTTTTTAGTCCAACTTTGTTGTCTTTTTTTTTGCACTGTAGAGCTGAACTTGTGCCACCTTGCGAAAATAAATTAGCTAAAAAAAATTGGCCAAATGAACTAAAGCTGCTGCTGAAAAAAAAAAAAAAAAGCACATGCAAATATTACTTTTTCCAGAAAAGGCACAATGGATTTGGGATCTATGAATATGCATGGCTTGTAGCAGTTACTGAAATGCCAAATGAAATAAATTAATCAAGTATGTTTTTCCAGGGGCAGAGCAACAGCATCCAAAAAGATGCTCTGAAATATCAAATCATCTTCATTTGTAGTGAGATGTTTCCAGTGATTATAGGCGCAGGGAGACAGGCAGCAGGAGCAGACTAATCACTTTAAATGGACATTAAGTCAAAGGCTGGACAGCAGCCAGGCAGTTTATTGAGAAGCCTTACCATCGAGCTCCTCAACAGAGATGCTGGCCAACACGTCACTGTCACTGTCGGACAGCGAGCGGCTCAGGTAGTTCCCCTTGTAGAGCAGGCCTGCCGTCACATGGTGGAACGGCATCTTCTCCCTGAGGGACGACAGAAGACAACGCTGAGTTTCTTGGGTTGTGTTTGGAAAAATCATTTCTGAACACAGATTACACAAGACAGGAACTCTCGTGTGTGTCTCATGGGCGTTCAGATTAACCATTCATCAAGAATCAAGTTATGAACGGGGAAAGTGCACTGATCGAGTCTTTAATCAAACTTACAATTCAATTAAAAACAAAAAAACAACATGAAATTTGAAGCCATAACTCGCTACAGGATCATGCGATACTGGTGAAGCTACAACAAATGAGCATCGGAGGGGGGCACGGCATAAACGGAATTCATAAATGAAGCAGAACTCATTTGGTAAATGAGGAGCCTAACGGGGAGGGAGATTCGTATAACTTCAGGTAAATGTAGTGAATACGTGTGTGTGGTGTATGTGCAAATGAGTCTCAGGCAATTAATTATTCAATAAATTAAAGCCCAAGGGCACGGAGGGGGTGGGGAGGGGGGGGGGATAAGAGCACACAGAGCAGCGAGATCTGAGTGATACTTCCTTCTTTCTAATTGGATTTCTTCTGGATGAGCACTTTGAGGGGATGCTTCCGAGGACAGAATGAGGAGATGTCACACCGAAGCTACACTGGATGCTCAATTTATAGCTCACCTGTTGAACTTTACGTCAAGTCACGTAGCCTCGCAGGTACGAGAACCTTGGCAACACAAACATTTAGCATGCGTCTAAAAGTGAATCGGGGCAGGATTTTCTGCTCTTCTGCAGCATGCACAGTAATAAAGCTTCTGGAAGTCACCTCATCGTGACATTTGCAGACTGCTGCTTCAGCTTGTTAACAACACTGACAAATACGTGCCCTCCTGAGGCGAGAAAGTTTAATTCTTCAGCTTGTAGAGCATCAGGTGAACAGTCACTACATTACACATGCTGCTCTGTGAGAAGACATAGAAGTAAATAAGTTGTGTTTTCTTTAATATTACAAATGTTTGAGCAGTAAAAAGCCCTTTAAACCTGCTTTCGTGTTGGCTGATTGCTAAAACTCCCCCAACAGGATGGAAGTTTGCAGCAAAGTTTCCGCGCGAAAAACGACTGCAACAAAAGATAAAGCCAACAGAGGCAAAACACAAACACATTAGCACTTCAAAAGGCAGTTTAGCTATTTGAAAAGTTGCACAACTCGCCAACCCCTGAGAAGAAGAAAGTCATACTTTGTGCATTTGGGGAAAATACTTTCCTTTGGCAAAATTGCAATCAAAATAGAGAGATTTAAACAGCTTCAGTTCAAATAACTTCTTAAACAGGACGGTATGCAAATTAAATCTGACTTTGGTAAAGTTGAAAAAGAAAAAAAAAACAGATTTAATGTTTAAAATGAGCCCACCAGACGCAAAGAGAATCACTTTTCTTAAAATTTCCAAAGCAATGAAAGGAAACTGTTGTAATATCGCTGCAATAATTGATGAAATATAGATTTAATTCTCTCTCTTCTCCCCTTTTCTTCTTTTGCAGGCTTCTGAAAACTCTATCCAGCACCTGACGAGGGCCGTGTTTCGCTGGTTTGAGCTACAAGTCATCTGTTACCTCACAAATCAAAGCTGGTCCCCGCATCTTTCTTGTTTGTCAGTTTAATAAGCATGCACATCAAGACGTCTGCCACGGCGCCTATTAGCGGCAGCTTTTTCTCGCACATAATGTCAGCGTTTTTCATTTCCTAATTCATCAATTATTCAGCCACGTCTCAGCTGTCATCTGGAATATTACAATCATCCCTCTTGTCTGCTCTTTACAATTTATTGTTACAAGCCAATCCATATATCGTCAGGTGTCTGACACAGGTGTACTCCGTCCGGAATCTCTGCGGCTTCAAGCGGCATCGATCGGGATGATTTACCATGCAGGGGCGGCATTTACATGCATTTCATTAGAGAAAGTTCTCGAGGAGCGGACGGTGGACTCGGTATTAAATATGTGAATGGCTCGTCCTGGAAACGTGAATGGTTTTGGAAAAGCAGAATCAGCAGAGTTGTTCGGCTCAAACTTTTATGTTCGCAGCAGCAAAAAGCCAGCTCTCTGTGTGTGTTATCTGTCTGTGTGTTCTTTGGAGGAGAGCTGTGGCTCCCATTGTGAGTCTTCTCACGTTTTTGACACCTTTGACTCGGCGTTCTTTACTTAATCTGTTTATCCAACTAAAGGCTCACACGAGTACTAATAAGGAGAGTGGAGACATGCTTTCAAATAATAGCAACCAGGGTTTCGCTGTTGTTGGAAACACGTAGGTGAGTGCGAGACGTCCTGTTAGCATCACACGCATTTCAGACGATTTCATTTTTACTCTCCTTTTTTTAGAAGGCTGCTTTACTTCCTTTACAGTTGGTGGGATTTTATGTGCAAATCAGGTCCTGGAGTTTACAGAAAGCGAACAGAACTGTGGTGAAACAATAAACTGATTACTCACGCATTCGACAAGTTTGTTAAAGTAGATTTTGTCTTATTTCCACAAGACGTATAATAAATATAGAAAGAACCAAAATGCATGATTGTCTTTTGCAACAAAAACACATGAATTTTTATGATGAACTTTAAAATTCGACTATTTAAGTTATTTATCGAGGCAAAATTATAGTTTTAGCTTCTCAACGTTTAATTTATTTTTTATTTTTCTCTATTTAAAACACCTGTAATTTGAATAATTTGGACAAAATAAGAAACTGCAATTTGTAATAAGGAGCTCTGAGAAATTTCTGAGACATTTACATACTGAAGGATGATAAAAGAAAAAGAAATCGACAGATTAAATGAAGCAGAGCGCATCTCCAAGCAGAATAATGAAGTCAGAGATTTGGTCTTTTCAGAAGTCACACATTAAACGCTGATACTTCTGCTTTCTGTTGATTAGTTTTTGCCAACACATCTTGTTGTCATGATTCCTTTGACCACTTCAAACCTGTCCTGAGGGGATATTCCTGCTATAAACAATTTAACTAAGATTTACTGTACGTGCATGCTGATTATCCCAAAAGAATTCCCATTGCTGCTGAGAACATCCTCACAGAGCAGTCACATCTTCCATCTAACCCAACTATATAGCCATTTGATGCTTTGAAGCTTTGCTAAGACTTCTTCAATTCCATGCATTAACATACAGTCGTGACTCGATAATCCGACCCTTAACAATCCTAAACCTGCTATCCAACAAGTTTTTAGGAAAAATGAACAGAACCCATAAAAACAGCCTTAACATACCGACAGCCTTGGATTCTGACTCCGACATGACATTTAATGTCACCAATCAGGATGACGGCGTATTATCTGACTGAACAATCCCACAGATTGGCTACGTTCACACTGCAGGACTTGATGCTCAATGAGGATTTCTTTGTGACTTCCTTCACGTTTCCAGTTCAATGCGACTTGTATGTGATCTGCTGTGTGAACTTCATACGACCCAAAAGTGTCCCGCATGCGCAGAAGAGGACACGACGACGTCACACGCAGCGAGCGTGCTCAGTGTTTATGGAAGTAAACATGGATGGTAACGGTGGAGCGTATCTGCCACTCCCCCGCCGCCACCGATGGAGGAAACAGAAGTGTGAGCGCTAACTAAACTAGCATCAGCAGCCAAGTACTGCCTGTGTGTTCTGGACACTTCCACCCCGTCGGAGAGCTGCCCCGGGTGGAAGTGAGCGTGAAATCCAGCGATACGTAGTGTTCTAACAATATACTAGTGATTATACCTATGAACAATGAATATTAACAACAAATGAGCCTTCAAGCATCAAGCCCTCCTTGTATCTCGACCTCCGTCTTGACAATCCGACATAACAGAAGGTTTTACATTTAGTGTCTGATTATCGAGTCACGACTGTATTTGTTCTTTTTTAAATTCAAAAACATCCCAAAGAGTACAAGATCTGACACCACTGACAAACAAATGTAAATGTGTCAAAGAGCGCAGACAGGCTGCGCCACATGAACAAGGAATAACATTTTACTTTCATATCTCACAAGGCCATAATGTTTAATAATACCCAAGATGAAATGTGATATAACGTGGTGAAAGCGTAAAACACTTGATCTTCAACCCCTCAGGAAGACGGTGTAGAACAGAGCTGTTCACAGCCTTCAGCTTCATTAGACTTGATTAAATTGATCAAGGTCTCAGCTGAAGAAGCTAATTTGCCCTTCAGGAACAGAGCAACACGCAGTAATCACTTAAATCAGGAGTTCATCGCCGTCGCCTCAACCAAGACCACAATCATTTTTCCCTCATCTAATCGCCGTTCCCTGCCGACTGTGATACATCAGTTCAGTAGAAAAAAGGGGAGGCGAAGATTGTGGAATTTAATACTTAGATTGACTGTTTGATAAAAAATGAGCCATAGAAATAACTTGGAGATAAAAATCACAGGATGGTACCTCAGAATGTTACAGGCTGCAGAATATACACAAATTCTCCTCCTTGCAAAAGAGCTGCAGCTCACAACTGGGATCACTGATTAAATAATTCCATAAAACATCATGAAACGGCCCCATCGCAGCTCAAACTGATGTCTTCATGTGTTTCTTATGTCTAATCAAGAGTCCAAAATCCAATTCATGGCATAAAATTAAGAAAACCAGCCAATCCTAACAAATTTCATTCAGTCCACTGAGCAATTAATCAACTCATTGTCTCAGTTTTATCATCATTATCTTCAAAGGGCCTTAGAATTTATCTCGTGTGGAAGTGTTTAAGCCTAAGCAGGAAAGTACATTCAGCCCGACAAGAGCAACTCAAGAATCTGTAAGAATCACACGTGGATGTGACACTAAAAACAGATGAAACCTGCCCTGCAGCTTTATAGGCTAGTAACTCAAATTTTACACCAGGTTGAGGCCATTAGCTGATGCCGTTACACAAAGTGACTTTCCGCCAGTGAGTGAGTTGGGAGTCGGCGTCCGGCTCAAGGACAGTGACTGAACTGACGGTACACTGCTGTTGATGGCTGCACTAGCTGTGATTGGACCTGTAGCGTTTAATCGCAGAGACAAGCTGCCACTCTGCCGCCTCTCGTGCTCCAAATTCAAGTCCGGATGTGTTTCCGCTCTGCGACCGGTCTATTGATTTCTTAGAGGTGCATCGCTAGAGATCACGGTTAAGTTTGACGACTGAGGAACAAGGTCAAATTTGATTTCAGGAACACCTGCAGCACACCTGGGACGTGGAAAATCAACAGCTGACGACTGATTTTCCAATTTCCCACGCAAAGGCCACACAGGGTTTACAGGTCTAAAACAGTTCTGCACACAAGCTAAAGATCTTCATCAGATGATCTAATTACTGGATAAAAGTCTCAACACGTTTGAATGTTTTTACCAGTCATGATAAAACTGCCAAAGTTCAGCAGACAGCTCGTAGAAGCTCGTATTTCTTTGCTTTTTCTTTTCTCTGCCACGTCGAGGTTTAGCGTCGTTTGTTTGTCTGGTTTGTCAGCCAGGTTACGCAGAAACCACACGGCCGAAAACTAAGTGGAGAACCCATTAAATTCTGGTGTGGATCCAGACCACTTTTTGTTAAAACAGGGCGAGATAGGGCATCGGCCTCGGTGGAGGATGCACTTTGCGAGCGCCCTTCTGGTTTATTTGATGGATGACAGCGATTAGAGTCTCGAAATGACTCACGGACGTTGTTTGCATACATCGCTGGAAATAACGATGACGTCTAAATTCTGATGATGGTGTAGAATTAAGTCCATCAGCTCCAAAATCTCTTGCTTTAAAAGCCACTTCTTGGTAAACTCGAGAAGATAAAATCCACTCCGAACATTTAAAGTCCTATTTTCTTTCAAAGTAAATCTCCACTCGCACACAATCAAACTATTTCAAGGTAGCTTAACATTAGGCAAACTATTACTGCATCATTATGGTACTTTTAAGTCCTTCCAGTGTTGTTAAGACTGGGTCACAGCAGCAATGAACCCAATTACAGCAGAGACATAAATAAAACCACCTCCACTAAAGTTGTGAGCATGCCTTACAGGGAGAGCACTTCTTGTCCTGACACTTCAAGGATAAGACAAAGATGACATGACTAATCAAAACACTTTGACCCTGAAGGAAGAAGCAGTAAGCTGCAATTATGTAGCTGCCATTAAAACGCTGCACGTCCTCAAATAACCAGCAGGGAGGCACGACGAACTCCTCCGAATTTGTCGTGTCCATCAGCTAAACATCACAGATTAGTGTCAAACGTTAGGATAAGATATGAAGCTGTAGTGACAAGATCAGGAAGAGGACACCGAGACACAGGAAGGCATCAAATGACTCTTTCTTTCTGATTGTACAGTCAATGAAATGTCAAAAAACGCAGCAAAAAACAAAAAACAGCAAAATCAGCTTCTTTAAAAGCTTGCCTGAAAGCCCAAAACAAAAATATTCATCATACAATGATGAGAAAAGAAAAAATAAAAGCAGGTACCACTCATATTTAAGGACCTAATACAGCAAATGTGTGTTTCCCCAAATAGATTTTTCCATTTTTCATCCATGAAATTATTCATAAATCTTCTTAACTTGAATATTTGACCTTCGTGCCACAATAAACTGTCCAGAAACAGATAATATCTTAAAAAATCTATTCTTGGGAAATGGGCTGTTCAAGAATAACAACAAAACTAATTGATGAGGATTTAATCTCGTCTTTTTGAAACATTAGATGATCAGTGACAGTAAACAGCTCATTTCTACAAACTCATCATCTTCGTCTCGATGCCGAAACTTCGCAATAAACCCTTTTGCTCGTCTTTTCTCTCATCTCCGCTCTCCAGTTGGAGCCGACAGCTGCTCACCTTCAATCAAGTTCTGTTGAGGTTTTTCCCTTTCTATCTATAAAATGTAAGGTTTCGACCTTACAATGTAAAGGGGCTGAGATAACGTATGCTGCATAATTAAACCTGACTTCCAACGCGTAGAGCTGTACACAAAACTCCGCCAGTCCTCTGAGTTCCCAAACCTCTCTCTCTCTCTCGCTCTCCCTCCATAAAAAATGACTAATCGGACCATGACCACACCAGAGTGCCAAACCAGTCAGCCCTCGGTTCTGAGACTTGACTCTTGAAGAGAGTGCAACCTGATGAAAAGAGCACAGCTTTACTCACAGCTTTCTGCATGACAAGGAGGCCAGATGGCAATTTCTTACATCAGACCCCGCAGCACAACAGCCAATAGCAACGGGCCGATACGGAGAGAAACACAAGCAGAACACAGTGTACCGGCAGCAGGCCCTCTGGCCGCAAAATCAACTTTGTGAAGGAGCAGCGATACAGTGACATCTTTATGAGTATGTGTAAAAATGTACTCGGTCCGAGTTTAAATACACGGAGTGATCAGCCGGATGTCACGTCCCTCTCAAGGCACAAAACAATCACTATTTACATAACAGTGATGAATTGGACTCCCATCACGAGGAGAAACTGCTAAAGTGAGATAACAAAAGAAAGGTAAGCTTTGCTTCGATCAGCACTGAATCACAGAGAGCATTTAACGCCTCCTGCGCTGTTCTATGTCGGATAGATTTCTTTTTTTAATTACATCCTTATCCGCGATGTGACAGCAAAACAAAAACACCTGAAGTGACATCACAGATTGAGGTGTGGTCACATTAGCAGGGAAAAAAAAAAAGTTTCCATCCAAAGAAAGAAATGTTTTCATTGTGGTTTTATTATTTTCCATCATTGCTTTAAAAAAAAACACCAACTGGTCATGAAAACGGCCAGTTCAGGAAATGACAGCACTGTTAAAACAAGAAGATTTACGTAAGCACAACGTTTAGATCGAGTCAGAAGTTTGGTATTCTGGTCACACTTCAATTTCCTTGATGCTCTCAGCTGTGTTCCTACGTAGTGTGAAGCAGCTTGGTGCCGCCTGATAACGGTTATCAATCAAATGGATTTGTTTAAACACAGCGAGCCTTTGACAATATTATACAGTGCTGCAGCAAACACACAAAGGAGACGCAACAAATCATTAATGCAAAAACAGAGCAGTTCCATGTAGGAAGTCATGATAAAAACGGATTAATCGCCGGCTGATGTCGATCATCCGGCGCTTCTTTTTCTGTCAGGTGTGTAAAATGACACCAAGTTGCAGCAGACAGCAAATTTGTTTGACAGCAATTGTCTGTTCAATGCAAATTTAAATCAAGAGAAAACTATTTCTGCGAATCAATGAAGCATGTCTGGACTTTCTGTCAGAGCAATTTACGGTTAAATGACTTTCCAGTGTCATGAACTGTACAACAGAGACACACAAGGTGCCTGAAAACGCAGCCAACCGGGTGCAAAGACAATTCATCAAAGCATCACTGGAGACAAAAGACGGGAGTGTCCCACAGAGGTGCCACCTCTCTCCACACATTACCAGCAGCTTCCTGCAGCAACAGACTCTTTCTGTGTCTCTCCTGAGCCAATTCTTACCCACACTGGTGGCTGTGACTGTACTCTGTAGGATACTGCAGCACATCAGGCTCCCTTGCCGGACTCTCCATCACGTCCAGCGTCCCGTCCCTCAGGTACGGGTTGCCCGGCAAGTCTCCGTTTACCTCCGAGTGCGTCCCTGGAGGTGGCATGCCGGAGGGCTCCGCCGTCTGAGGATCGGGTTCTGTGACCTCCTCCTCCATCAGACTCTTAGATGCAGTGGTGCCTCCAGCAGCAGCAGCAGCAGCAGCAGCAGCACACCGCCTGTCCACAGACCTCTGAGCCCGGCTGCCTCCACAGTTTGGGCTTGTCCCAGAGCAGCAGCATCAGTTCCCAGAAATCCGTTGTTAATATTTGAGCAGCGAGAGCAGCAGGTACGTCGGCTCCTCTCACACTCCACTCCTTTGGCTCCTTACTCCCTCCCTCCCTCTCTGTGACTCCCTCTCTCCCCCTTTTGCTCTCTCACTCACTCTCCAGTGCAAACATTCCTCCACATGGGGAAACAACTGAGTGGAGGGCTCATTAGTGAGTCCCAATGACAGACTCAGCTCTGCCTGCCTGCGGCGGTGCTCACAAAATACACAGGGAGAGGCTGGAGAGAGGGAGAAAGGGAGAGGGAGAAGAAAAAAAAAAAAAAAGCAAGAGCGGTGGAGACTGAAGGAGGGAAAGAAAGACAAGGTGTAGACAGATATGACAAATATGGAATGAGAGACCAAATGGAGCTGAAAGAGCAAAAGAAGGGAATGACAGATGAGAGAAACTATTTGTGAGTATCTGTTTTGATATCCCAGTGGATTATGCTCACAGTGCAGGTCAACACAGGGATGCTGTGAAGGCGCGTCACACGCAGAGAGAAAGACACATGTTGGAGGAGGAGGAGGGGGGGAGTGCGCGCCTTGCAACAAGCGTGCGCCACCGTGTGGAGCAAGAGCGCGCCTTGGATGCTACGCAACGAGGAAGGATGGAGACAGTGGGAGGCGTCCCGGCAGGGGTCCACAGTGAGAGCCGAGCTGCTGAGCCCCTCTTCACAGCTCCTGAAGCCTGCATCACATCAACCCCCTCCAACACACACACACACACACTTTCTGTGGGCTGCTTGTCATCAGTGTGACAGAAATTACATTTGTGCAGCAGCCAGCATCACTAACAGGCGTCAGTGGTGGTAATCTACTAATTAGACATTCTGCTCAGATCTCATGTTGTCTCATGAGTGACTGATTTCGCTTCCTAAATGAACAGCTTACATTTATCTCTGAAAGCCCGGTTGTAAATTAACACGATTTACATACAGCAGGTGGACACTTAAATTAGAAACTTTACGCAAAATGGAACAATCGACTTTGTAAAGTAAAATATTAATTGGATCCGTTTCCAAGCCCATTTCTTCCCCCCACATAGCATTCACCATCTGCTGACACACATAAAACTGCAGCAGAATTTAGCAGCAGGCTCCAATGAGTGGACATCATGACTGAGCCAAACAACAGGTGTGGGCCTGAGGGGAGCTACTGGTGTGATTTAATGCGGACAGAATAAAAAAAAAAGGCATCAATGTGTTGTAATAATAATAAGCTGCAGCCTTTTCATTTCCTGCCGCTGGAGGTAATTTATTGGCTGACTTCCACAGCTTACCTTTGAGGGTGTTAAACGTGTGAAGGTGATCAGTCAAATCCGTTAATCGATGCTCGCAGTAGGATCCAGTTTAGAGACTTGAGCTCTCCTCAATCAGCCTCGTCGATCGATCCTGGAGATGATCCTGTTGATTGTTGTCTTACTACTGAATTATTCCGTTATTCTGACACCGCAGCGTGGTCACTCTTTGCCATTGTGGATTAAAAAAATAAAAGGTCACAGCAGCAGGTTTCGGATGGAGTCCAGCAGCAGAGGCGCACGGCGCGTTCCTGCGAGTTGCACTTTTCGCCAAACTCTCATCAATGTTTCAAAGCTCTTCCTTCGCTCCACTTCTCGACGGATCCACGTTATACTCACGGTCTGCGGAGATTAATCGCAAACAAATAGATATTTTAAAGCCACAGGTCCGTTTTCTTAAAGTAAAAATATCCACAGAGTGAAGATCCACGCACACACACAGGTGCCGAGCGTCGCTAAGATTGATGAGAGCAGCCCGGCGGCCAACGGGGACGAGCCAACCCGAATCAATACGCAATCGAGCAGCAGAGCAGCGGATTGGCTGCTTTTACTCGTTTGCCTTAATCGGTTTATTGTGTCATTTTCAATCGGAGAAACTACCTGCACCGTTTCCAAATAGTAACCTGGACACATGCCTGCCGAGGCTGAGAATCCGCCTCTTCACAAATGAAGCAAACAAGTTAAAGCATGTCTGAGGTTTGTGCTGATTTCAAAATAATGCGTTCACTGGCACATGGTTAAAAAACAAAGTTTATTTTTATAGTTCCCCAAAAAAGTAGTTATTGCAGATTTAGTCTTTGGTTTATAGTTTGGTTTTACAGTTTTGTTTTTTGGTCAAATTTCTGATTCTGATATTTAATTGTCGAGTGTTTCCTCATTAATTTATCTGTATTATATTTATTGTTATTTAACTTACAACCATGTTTCAATGAGACAGTTCAGGCTCTGATATTTTTTATAATTTCCAACCAAGCTTTATGAAATTAAGAGTACTTTGTAAAATGGCACCACCTGATATTTAGATTTTTTTTCATCCAATCACATATATTTTCATAACAACCCAAAGCCAATTATGGGTAGTTAGAAGTTTTAAAAAAAGCTTATATTTTACTTATTTTTTTCATATTAGTAGGTGTTTTATTTAACCTGTAATCCAGTTCCAATCAGAAAACAAGTGTATATCTAATTTCAAATCATTCTTGCAGGTTTATTCTTTGACTCATTTGCTCTTACTTCTTATTTTGGTTTTACGGTTTGTTTGTCCCCAAAGTTCAGGTTCTGCTATTTCCTCATTTTCAAACAAGTTATATAAAAGTGTTTTTTGAAATGACTCCATCTGACATTTAGTGTCATTGTGATCCATGAACAGCTGGTTTTATGATAACCTCAAGTCACTAATAGATAGTTTAGCTCTATGAGAAAATTATGGCTCATCTGTTTAGTAAATTTTTCATCATAGTGGGTGTTTGCTTTATGAATTTATTTACTTTTTCATTTACTTTTGGCCAGGATCCAATAAGAAATATGTCTAATTGGCTCTAATCTGATCTAGTCAAAAACAAGCAGATGTAATCAGCTGCACAGAAGGACACACAAAGAAAGCAAATGTGCTTTAAAGACAAACTGAATATTACCAGCTGGGGTTGTTCCTCCATATAGAACCTAAGTTAGGGTTCCTTAATTGACCATGGGTTGATTTTTAAGGTGAAACCTACCACATGCTCCAGTTCAGACTTCTGAACAATGACTGATGTCCATATCAGAGCCAGAAACAAGACTGATGAGACAGAGCAGACACCACCTCTGTGATGAATGACTGAATAAATCAGAAGGGTTCTCTTTGACAGTCTGCAGGTGAAAGTGTTTCCCCTCCAGAGTACAGGGGCCTGTTTTGGGCCTGGTGGAATTGCTATAAGTGATGGACTATGCTCAGAAGAGTGCTGAGTCAAGAAGTGACACCTGCTCTTAGAAATTGAAAAGTTGTCTGGTACTTTTTAGAGGACAATGAAGAAAACGGGGACCTTCCAGCTGAAAACTAATAACTGATTTATACATGCGGGCCTGTGAATAAAACATGCAGGCAGCTTCTCAGTTTGCATTAAGTAGGTTCAACTAATGTGGTGTTGGCTCCCGGGCATTCCTACTATTTATGGAGGGGGAATGTCTGAATAAGTGAGAGAAAAGCCACCAGCAAACCCAGGACACGGTGAAGAGTCAGCATATCCCTGAAAGTCTGGGAGCACTGGGTGGCCCGGGGAAGTTAATGAAGATGTTTGGGAGTCAGAGGTTGCTGCTGTTGTTCTGCTCAATGTCACTGTGGTTTGAAAAAGAAGCATAAAAAATAGATGGATAGATATCTCTGCTGCTGCCAACGAGCAAATGTTCACTTATTCAACATCTGTCTATCCCTGGATTTAGTTACATTCTGAAAAAATCGACTTTGATGTTCTACAGCTTCTTCATTCTTGCTACTCAGTGTGGCCAAATACAATGAATATAACACAATAAAGGTTGTTTTAATCATAAATGAAAGTGGGCTGCAAGGTGGCTCGCAGCAAGAAGGTCGCCGGTTCGTGTCCCGGTGAGGACACCCGGGATCTTTCTGAGTTTCTGGAGTTTGCATGTTCTCCCTGTGCAGCGTGGGTTCTCTCTGGGTTCTTCCCACACAGTCCAAAAACATGTTGAGGTAAATTGGTGATTCTAAATTGTCTGTCGGTGTGAATGTGAGTCAGCTGGGATAGACTCCAGCCCCCCATGACCCTAGTGAGGATTTGGCAGTGTATAGATAACGGATGGATGGATAATGAAATATTGCACGTGCAAAATAAAATATTGCACAGTGCATTGGTACGTTTTTCATTAAATTTTACACATGATAATGAAATATCTCACATGAAATTGAAATGCTACATTGACTTTGATCTTCCTCACACCAAGCTGACTTTCTAAACTTTAGATCCAGAAACTTTCCATCTGGTCTCTGCTCTCAGAGAAAACCTTCAAACCTCTTTGATTTACATGTTCACATGCGTCGGCTTGTGCGCTTGTGTATATGCGCATGGATGGATGGACAAATGAAAGCCATTCCCATCCATCCATCCATCATCTATACACCGCTCAATCCTCACTAGGGTCATGGGGGCTGGAGTCTATCCCAGCTGACTCAGGGTGAAGGCAGGTTCACCTGGACAGGTAACCAGTCTATCACAGGGCTACACTTAGAGACAGACAACCAAGCACACTCACATTCACACCTACAGACAATTTAGAATCACCAATTAACCTCAACATGTTTTTGGACTTGTGGGAGGAAGCCGGAGAACCCGGAGAGAACCCACGCTGCACGGGGAGAACATGGAGACTCCACGCAGAAAGATTCCAGTGTCCCCACCGGGACGCAAACTGGCAACCTTCTTGCTGCGAGGCAACAGTGCTAACCAACTGCGCCACCTTGCAGCAAGCCACTCCCAGTAGAAGCCATTTACTTCACAGGAACCAATTTATCCAGATGTTTTTGTTCCTTACAGAAGTAAAGCATTGAATTAGAGATTTG